AGAAACATAAATGCCATCCAAAAATTTTCGGATCTTCTTGTTTTTCACTGTTGTGGCTTGTTGAATCAAAGCAGCTGAATTTGATACAAGTTCAATGTTGTTTCCTTCAAGAATTAACTCATTTTTCTGGGCTTGAGATACTGAACAAGCAATACCTGACCTCATCCAAACCCTGCGGATGTATTTCTCACCCAAGAAATTTTGAATTTCAACAAGAGAACCATTCTCCTGAATAACGCCATTGATGGGTAGTGAGCATACACAGACCTCATCTTGTAACAAAAGCCCAGTGTAACACCCTTGATTATGTTCTGTACATGACTACAGATAGTGCAAACAGTAGCCAGTTCCTTTCTATTTCCTCCCCCATTTGTCAACCTGGAGGCTCTTCTTTTTCTTTTCAAGGAGACTGAGTTCCTTGAAAAGAAACTCTGATGTGATTGAAGTCCCTTTGCAGAGTGCCTCTGGGGCCCTTTGCAATAATTGAGAGTTTCTTCAGAGTGATATCCACATTTTCTGAAAAGTCAACAGTCTGATTGCTGAGACTGGTCTTCATTCTCGCAGTAGATGCAGCTAGAAGATTAAATTTTAATACATGTGTGTGGGGAATTCAAATAAGCGTGAGAATTCCAAAGACAGGCAAAATTGGTATATATGTCATTTTGGACAAAGAAGAAGGCGGGCGGTGGTGGGATTTCAAAGGAAGTAGGCAATTTACAGGTGGTTGAGGAAGAGTGGAACACACATGAGAGGTAAATTTTTGCTAGGCAACCCAGACAACAACGGGACATGCGTGGTGGGGAATAGGGAAGAGGGTGGTCAATGGGCTCAGAATCTTCCTGTTTAATGCTCAGGTGATTATGCTAAGGTTCCCTTCCAGAAGCAGGTTTTTCCATCTGAATCTCTTAGGCGGGAAAGAGGGGGGGGGGTGGAGGGTCAAAGTTTCTTTCCCAGTCTTTTGTTTTAAAAACCAGTCTGAAATCAATATCCCCAAAGGCAAAACTTTTGGTCCCCTTTAGAGTCTAAACCACCAGCAGCAGCATGGCTAGTTAGGAAAGACATGTCTGTTGTGCTGGAGTTTTGCAAGCATTTTTATATATCAAGTAGAGGGGAGAAAGAGGTAAGCTGTTCTGAAATGACTTACGTTAGCTATAGATAAAGGGGATGGGAGAAGATGAAGAGGTGTCAGTTCCTGTGGATTAGCTGTGGGCAGCAGATTGGAAAATTGATGTGTAAATAGGAAGGAGAGTTTCCTTGGCCATTACTTGTTTTGAATAATTGTAGAAATATAGTTGGAAAATCCTGAATTCCAACAGGTAAATAGGAATATGAGCCATCTTTTGTCAGAGCCGGTTCACAGCTATTAACAGGCTAACTGTTCTGTATCTTTCTTTCACTCTCAGGCAGCTGTAATTTTAATTTAGGACATCTCAGAATTTTTTTTGTTACATATGCAGATGACCTGATCGTTTAGATGGAAAACATAAGGAAATTAAAACTGAAACTAAAGCAGTAAAATAAGTACATAAAGTAAGATCGTATATAATAAGATATATTAACATACAAACCAATAGTTTTCACATACACAATTACTAGTGAGTGACATGATATAAACAACAGAAAGAAACACTGAAGAAATGTGCAAAACTTATAATGAGGAACCTTAAAATACCTGAAAAATATAAAAGCAGACTTGAACTAATGATAAAACATCTTATTTTTGGATAGGTAGATTCAACATTTTAAAGATACCAATTCTTCCCAAGTTAATATATAACTTTAACATGATCCCAATAGAAATATCAATAAATTAAAAAAAATTTTTTTGTTTGTTTGTTCTGGAGCTAGATGAGTGGATTTTAAAGTTCATGTGGAGAAATAACTTAGGATGGGGAAATTGCAAAAGAGCAATGGATATATGCTAGCCTTATCAACTATCAAAGCATACTGTAAACCCCTATAATTAAAACAATGTAGTATTGGTGCATGAAAGGACAGACCAATGGAACAGAAAGACCAGAAAAAGGCCCAAACATGTATGAAATTTTAGCTTAT